AATATGCGCATCTTCAAATCAGATGATTTTTAACTTCATTTATTTTTTTAACATCACAACCGTCTTACTGAAGAGGTCCAGTTATTGTACTTGTTCATCCAGTTTTTAATATAACTGTATATTCCTGCATAAAACATGATTAATATATATGGTGCAATTATGAAAAATTGGAATTTATTTGGAGGATCTAAATTTATCAAAGATTTTGAACGAAAGAAGCATTGCGAGACTTTAAAATTTCTCACAGTGCAGCAGTGAAATAATCTTTTTATTAGCAAATTCTTACATAATCATGTTATGCTCCTAATTCCAAAAAGAAAGCAAGTAAAATCAGTGAGACTCACGTGAAGCATATCGGTTAGTGCAGTAATGTAGCTGATTGCAGCTCGCAGAATCTTCAGTTTTGACACACGTTTTGTGTTCGATCGAACAGCTGGTAGATGGTATTTCAAAGTTACGAACGCCTGTAGTTACTAAATTTACTTTATGATTGCTCCCGCAAGCAACTAGTGCATTCTCTTAACACCATGTATGGATTTTCCAATGTGTAACCGCACAATTGAAATGCAGTAAGAAACAAAGCTCACTGTTTTGCAATGTCTCTGACAGTCCTTCAAGCTAATAAAGTATGCAAGTTCTCCAAAAAGACAATTCAGAAAACAACTCTTCGCGCTTTACGTTTTTTAGAATTCACACTGGAAAAAATTCGACTGGTAGCGTGGGCTAACACCATCAACCTTCTGGCTGAGCGCCGGTGGCTCCCAATTCCAAACCTCCTTAAAAACAAGAACAAATTGGCCTAGTCTGGAACATTGTCAATTTACCATTGAAACGATTGGACGAATTATACAGAGGGCCCAATGGCAGGGTTGAATTTTTGCCCTTCAACGTAAGTCTTATTTAAAGCTCGACCCAATCGCGATTTCAAACGAAAGCATCATTTTTTTTTTGGCTGCTAAGCCTGATATGTTGAGGATTTAACGAACCTGATTGACAGCATGAACCCGAGTTCGTTCCCGAGCATTTCGCTTTGCAACTACAACAGGTGGTCGCTCCCAAGCACGCTGTAACGCTTTTCTTGGGCTCCTGTCACAATGAGTTGTAGTTGCGGCGTACATCCAGAAACGATGCGCTGAAAAATGCTAATGCTAAGCTGTAAGCAAAACAGCCATGTCCTTACAATCCGTATAAAGTCAAACTGAGGTCTTTGCTCCATCTCTCTCTCTCTCTCTCTCTCTCTATATATATATATATATATAT